CCTCTAGTCTGCTGTTGGGACTTTGTATAATATCCTTTATTTCAGTCAGTGTATGCTTAATTTCTAGTTGGTCCTTTTTCATATCCTCGAGGTTTTCACAAGATTTCTTGAGGGTCTCACTATATTTATCAGTGGTTTCACTAGACTTATTGAGGGTCTTACTAAATTTATCAGTGGTTTCTAGAAAATTCTTTTTTTTTGTACACCTATGTGCATAACAATTTATTCATAATAGCTAACAACATGAAAATTGTTACCTAAGGAAAATGTGATAAATGCAAACAATGGAATATTATTCAACCTTCAAAAGGAGGAAAATTCTGACATATGCTGCAACATGGATGAACCTTGAGAACATTATTCTGTAAGCAAGTCACAAAAAGACAAATATTGTATATTATATAAGGACTTATAGTAGTCAAAATTATAGAGACAAAATATAGAATGGTCGTTACCAGGGGCTACGGAGCAGGGAAAATGCAGAATTAATAGGTATAGAGTTTCAGTTTTTGAGATGGTTGGATAATAGTAACAAAACATTATTAAAGTATTTAAATTACTGAACTGTACACGTAAACCTGGTTAAGATGGTAAATTTTGTGCATTTTACCACAATAAAGAAAAAGAATGTAAGGCACAGAGAAAGGGTTTTGTTAACATTATTTTTTCAGGCTTGGGAAGTCTCTTGTACATAGGAGACACTCAAAATAGCTGCTAAATTATAAATCAATAAAAACTACTAAATATTCCAGGACATCTTCTCGTAAGTCCTAAATTAAGAGCCCTAAAGTAAATAAAACAAATTACCTGTTTCTTTGAAAAGCTTTCATTAATTTTGGTTCCCATGGCAGCAGTTCATTTAAAAGACGTATCAATATACTATGCAATTCTTTTACAGCTTGCCTCCGATGATACCATTTACCCGATTTTTTCTACTGTTTTCCAGATCTTTGAGTTCATTCTCGATTTTTGTGATTAAGGCCCTGAGTTCATCAAGATTAGTGCAAATAAGCTGAAATTCTGGTACAGTAGGTAACTTTGTGATAGTTTTCCTCTTCTTTGTGATTGCTTTTTTAGATATGAATTTTTTTCCAGATTTGTGCTTCTTGTGTTTTGCCTTCTTTTTGATGTT